CAGAAGACTGCGTTCGTAAATTGAGTAGTGGAATGAGTTTAGCGTTTGCCTTTTTAACCTTGGCCCTAATTCCTTTGGAAAGAGTGGACTGATTAAGTGGGGGTGGAGGAGATTAACCCAATTTGATAACGCTTGTGACCTCGATGAGATCCTCGAGAACTTGCGCAAGGAGTCAACCTACTTAGCCTGAAATCGTCCATGCACATAAGCTCTTACCTTGCTGCTATATTTACATATCCTCAAAGAGGGTTTTTATTTAATCATTCCTGATCATCTTATCAATTCATGTCCCTATGATGACAATCATTGTCTTAGCTGTTAAGTCTTTCACTACTATTTCTACACTACCAGCTGTAACAGGGTAGACATACCCATACAAATACCGCTATAAATACAAATTTGAAAAGTGAACATGTGAGTATTTGCAAAGTTCATCCCGTAGATTGATATTTGCGACATCACTTACAGCCGCCTAGTGATTCAATCAGATCACCGATGCATTTCCATAGATTCAGACGCTACAGCCATGCTCCATACCAAATTCTACAATGAACGACCCTCTAAGTAAGTCATTATAATACGCTCAACGTGTATGCCTGTTTTAATGTATTATGATTCGCATAACATGTGGGCCACTTAAAAATTACTCTGGAATTCCCAAATGGAATAATGGTAGATGAATGTAATAATGCCTACCCATTGTTAGCTATTCGTAAAAGGCAGTAGGTTTTACAGAAATTTCCTTGATTTTGGTTTGCAATAAATTAAAGGCAAGGCTGAAGGTCTTTCATTTTTGAATGATTTGTAGGCGAAAGTTAACTGTAACGATTAATGATATGCAAGGCATTGTACGCCAGGACTTGGACTTTTGTTAACATAAATGCCATCCAGCAATGCTTGCTGTAATCGAAAGTACACAAGGCCTTAGTTTGATTATGCTGGGTCATGCACTTTTTGACAACCTGGGAAGTTATGCTTAGCTGCTGCTTCATCCTGTAGAGGAGTTTAGGGGCCGTACTATATCACATGAACGCGGTCACTGGAATAAGATATGCAG